CGGAGGCGGTGCTGGCCGCGGTGGCGGAAGCACTCGACGGCACCAGCACGCAGCGCGCCGGAGTATGCCATGATCCAGAGGAGCAGGCCGCGTGGGATGCTACCAAGCGCTGGTTCCGCGCTTGGGCACAGGCACCAGATCAGCCCGCACTAGCACTGGCAGCGGAGGACGAGGCGAGGGCAGGAGGGGCGCTCACTGATGAGATGCACAAGAATCGCCGGCGTGCCCGAGCAGTCCGCTTCAAGATGATCGATGAGGACACGCTCATCGGACCCCGCGAAGCTCCGGCCGCAGAGAAGGTCAAGCTGGACAAGAGTGTAACTCGCTCGAAGAGCCCTCGTAAAAAGAGCCCCCGACGTGCCAAAGAGGTGCCAGCGACCAACCTGGTGAAGCCGCAGGCGCTGGGCATAGCGCGGAAGAGCAACTACCCCGGGAAGGAGCTCGCCCCCGCCGGCCGTGCTGAGCCAGGCGGGGCCAACTACGCCAGCTGGTTCGCGCAGCAGAAGATGGAGGCCATGCTGCAGAAACTCAGCGAAGGCACGAGGGCAGGCTACGAGGGAGGATGGCGGCTCTGGGTAGCTGTGCGCCAGGCGCAGGGGCTTAGCCCTTGGCTCCCAGGACGTGATCGCGAGGAGCGCCTGGCCGACGAGGAGGCGCTCATCAACTTCGCCGTCCTCCTAGCGCGGGTCGTTGGGAGGACCGAGGGGACCATCAAGCAGACTTAAGCTCTTCGCGGTGCGCTACGCCCACCTGGTGGCCGGCTACTCGGATCCATTGCTCCACAGGGGTCGCCTTTGGAGCACCCTGGCAGGGCTAAAACGCTGGCAGGGGCCCGAGACCAAGCGGAAGAAGCCCGTCACGCCAGCCATGCTCGAGTGGCTCCGCGGCTTTCTCCAGCAAGAAGCCAAGCTCCCCGAGGAGGATGCGGTGGTCATCTGGGCGGCCATTGTGACAGCGTTCTTCTTCCTCCTGAGGGCTTCAGAGTACCTCCTCCAGGACGGGCGCTCGTGGTCCTTCGAGCGCGTGCTGCACGGGGAAGACGTAGAGCCCAGGAAGGACGGGAAGCGAGTGCCCAGCTTCCAGGACGCCGACGAGATGGTGATCTACATCAAGGGCAGCAAGACGGACCAGCTCAACGTCGGGACGGTGAGGAACCACTACCGCGCCGGCACGACGCTCTGCCCGATCGCGGCGATGGAGCGGCCCCAGGCTCACCATCCCCAGCGGATAAAGGGCACCGAGGAACGGCTGCCCCTTTTCCGCTGGGCGTCAGGTACACCGATTCGCAGGGCCGAGGTGCAGCACTTCCTGACGGTCGCGGGGCTGGCCGCCGGCCTCTCTAGGGAGGAAATCGGCAGCCATTCCCTGAGGATCGGCGGGGCGACTGCAATGTACCACGTGACCGAGGACCTCTCCCGGGTGCGCCTGTTCGGGCGCTGGCAGTCGGACGCGTTCCACGGCTACCTGTGGGAGTCGCACGAGCCGATGAAGGGCATCTCCGGCAAGATGGCCAGGGACACCTCCTCGCTGACCAACCCGGCGAAGGACAGCGCCCCCAGCAGAGCTGCCGCCGGCGCTGAGAGCGCCAGGCGTGAGAGCCCATGAGGGGGGCCGCAGCGGGCGCCACCGGTGCTTGCACACCTGGCGTGCGCCCAGCCCAAGCCGCCGGCCTGCCCGCCGTGCGTGCTTGAGTGACGTAACCCGACCACCTGCGCCGCCGGCGGATCAGCCGCGCGCTCGCAGGGCACACCCACCCGTGCCTTCGGCACTGGCCAATACCTCAGCGCGAGTGTACGCGCACAGGCCTGTCCGTCGGGGCCCCACCAGCGCCTGGGATGCTGTGGGTCCCCTTGCAGCCGTTGGACAAGGGCCATGCTGAAGCCTGCCTGGCACGCTGGCTCTCTATGCCAAGCCTGGTCGTGCCGGGCACACTGACGTCAGCTTAAGACACAGTAGCTGGCAATCTGACAGCCCAGCGTGGCCGCAGCACCAGAATTCATGCGCAGGCACAGGCCCACGCCCCAGCGCCGGCCCGGGGAACCCCCTCTGTCAGGGGCCGGACCCTGCCCGCCCCGTGCACTTGTGGAGGGGCGGGGAGTCGGGAGATCTGGAGGCCGCGGCGCGGACGGGGGTGCCAAGCACCGGCCTGTGCCGAGCGCCAGCGATGGCATCTTCGGGCCTCAGCCCGAGGTCAGGCTCCGCCGGCAATCAATGCACCGGCGTGAGCCCAAGGCCTAACCTCGCGGAGGACAGCCGCGCGCGCCGGCATCAGTTGCCTGGCGGCAGTCGGCAGACAGGAGGACGTTGGGCCCCACGCGCACGCCGGCGCATGCGCCAGGCGGGGCGCGACTCAGAGTATAGACGGTGCCGGCGGCACAGAGCCTGGCACCCAACTTTGGCGACGCCCATCAGGGCGCCCACACAGCGCGCCGGCGTGTAAAATCCGCCAGGCGGCCAGTGTGCAGGGTCATTGGCAGCAGCACCAGTATCATTAGAACAAAGGCGGCGAGGCCCGCTTCGCGTGGCGGAAGGAGGGACCCGCCCGGCGTACCAACGCCGGCGGGAGGAGCGTGCACGCGGCCAGCGCAGCAGTAAAATGGGGGGGGCTGCACCGCTGCCGCCATCGTCATCGTCTCCTGAGGGCCCGCTTCTGACCGCTTCGCGGCTGGCACGTCCCGCGGCCTTACAGCAGGCCGCGCTTCCGCTAGCGCCGTACTGCGGGGGCGGGGTCTTAGTTGTTTGTCCTAAACGGTTGGACCCCGCCCTCCCCAGTCGGCTTGGGTTTTCTCCTCTCCCTGCTCCTGCCTCTGCCTGCCCTTCTCTCTCCCTCTCTCCCGCTCAAGCCTTCGGGGCTCAAAGCCCTCCCAGGGCCCGAATGGGCCCTCTTTTGCCCGCCCACCCTGGGCTTTGCCTTGGTGTCTAACGGCACCGCGGCGAGGCCCGCTTCGCGTGGCGGAAGGAGGGACCCGCCCGGCGCGCCAACGCCGGCGGGAGGAGCGTGCGGCCAGCGCAGCAGCAAAATGGGGGGGGCTGCACCGCTGCCGCCATCGTCATCGTCTCCTGAGGGCCCGCTTCTGACCGCTTCGCGGCTGGCACGTCCCGCGGCCTTACAGCAGGCCGCGCTTTCGCTAGCGCCGTACTGTGGGGGCGAGGTCCACTGATGGGAAAAAGGGGCCTCGTTCCTTATTTATGGTTCCTTAGGTTCACGTCCCGACTGTATAGGGGGCCACAGGCGAACCCTGCCCTTACCCCCCACGACTTCCGAGGGGGAGGGGGGGGGGGTCACTTCGCTCGGGGGCTCCCGAACGAAGTGACCCCCCCCCCTCCCCCTCAGAAATCGTGGGGGGTAGGTAGGGGTAGGGTCCGCGCGTGGCCCCCTACAGTCGGGGCCCTGAAGAAGGAACCCGTTTCGTCGGGGAGGGGCTCCGTGTTCCTCAAGTGTTCCACAGCTTGCCTCAGGCTTTCCTCAAGTTTTCGACCGGAAATCGAAGGTTAGCTGATGGGAAAAGGGAGGCCCTCCTTCAGTATTTCGGGCTCCTTGGGTCAGCGCCCCGACTGTGCTCGTGGGGCCGCCCCGCCGGCCTCTCTGGGGCCCTCCGCTGTTGGGGGCTCCTGCGGGGCCCGACGGCGTCGCGCGACGACGCCTCCCCAGGGGGAGGGGGTGGGGGGCGCGCGCCAAGCCCGGCAGGGCTTTTTGTTTGAGAGCTCGGGGCGCGGGCCCCCTGCGAGACGCTGCAGGACCGAGGCCTGAGGCCCAGGGGGTTCTAAGGGGGCCGCGGGCGAACCCTACCCCCAGCAGGCGAAGGAGGAGGAGGAGGAAGAGGAGGAGAAGGACGAGGACGACGAGCAGGAACACGATTAGTTTTTGGGTTCCAGCTCTGGTAGCAGACCGATTTCAAACGTGCAGATACTTGCAACTAGCGCTCCTGATGATCTTCGTCCAATTACTCTGCCCCCCCCCCCCCCCACGACTTCTGAGGGGGAGGGTGGGGCTCACTTCGCATAGGGAGCTCCCGAACGAAGCAGACGCTCGGGCCCCTACGAAACACTCGGGGTGCGGGGTGCGGGCCCCCACGAAACACTTTCGGGGGGTGGACAGGCCTCCTACAGTCGGGGCGCTGAAGAAGGAACCCTTTTCGTTGGGGAGGGGCCCGGTGTTCCTCGATTGTTTTGCAGTTTGCCACAGGTTTTCCTGAGGTTTCCATGGGAAATAGAGAAGTAGAACTTGTGGAAAAAAGGGGCCTCGTTCCTTATTTAGGGTTCCTTGGGTCAACGCCCCGACTGTACCCTGACACGTCGATTAAGGAATTTGGCCGCTTTCGGTTCGCGGGAGGGTCTCGCGGCCGTCATGCTTGCGGGTCCAGGTCCGTCGGTTTCGGGCCCAGGCCGTTTTCACGAAGGGGAGGTTTACGAAAGGGAGGTCTGTCCACCGCCGAAACGCGTCGAGACTGAGGTTTGAGGCTCAGGAGGGTTGTGCAACGGACCTGAGGACACGCCCATTGCGTGCCCAGGGGTACGGTGGCGGAGGCGAGAGCGTGAGGCAGGCGAGAGCGCGAGAGGCGTGAGGCAGGCGAGAGCGTGAGAGAGGGATGGCGCGCCCGATTCCCGCATGCATACAATTGAGAGAGCCCTGGACCAGAGCCGCCATTGTTTTGGCCGGGGGGGGGCCGGGGACGCAGCTTGGGGGCCTGGAGCCCTCGCCCTCGACGCACGCACTGGGCATCGCTCGGACGTGTGCAGTTTTCCTTCGGCGAGGACCATCGAGGAGCATCCTTGAGCATGTGGCGAAGAAGCCACGCACGAAACCGAAAAAAAAAACGCCGGGAAGGGACGCCCTCGCCCTCGACGCGAGCAGGGTGTGGCCGTCGAGGGACACGCACTGCAGTGGAAAAGAGCCGGGGCGCGCCCGCGAGGGGGGGGGCCCAGCAGCACGTCTTCCTGCTCTCGGCAGGGGCTGTGGCGGAGCGGCCGGGCGGCCCCGCCCCGTGCGCGCGGGGCAGGCGCCGTCGGAAGAGCGGAGCGCGGTCTGCCTGCGGGTGCAGTACTTCCGCCTCCAGCCCCGCGTCCACGAGGAGGACAACAACCTCGGAGGGGGGGCCGTCGCCCAGGGGGGGGGGGCCTGTCCCTCGACAGGGGGAGTTATGAAAAAATCATGACGGGAGGTTTTTCACTTTTTTGGGGCTTTGGGGGCCCTCACCGGCCCTCGGGACCGTCAAAAAACGACTCAGGACGAAAAACCGGTCCCGGGGAATGGGTCGAGACCTCGGGGGGTCGCTCGGGGGGGGGGGGGGCCGGGGCGGAGCGGGAGAAGGAGAAAGGACACACGGGGGGTGATGGACGGAGGAGAGGGGAAGGGAGGGCGGAGGGGAGAGGGGACACGGAGAGGAGGGTGGCGAGGGGTGAAGGAAGTAGCGGATGAGTGAGAAAAATGAGCAGGTGGGAAAGGCATATTTCCTGGCTTTTTGGTCAGAGCCAGGGACGGGCGGGTAGGGGGAAGGGTAACGGAGGGAAGGGGAACGGGGGCAAGCGGCCGGAATCATGGTGACGGTCGCATTGGAAAGCGGAAGGGGAAGAGATTGTGGATGCAGGGGTGCATTGAGACGAGGGGGAAGAGTGAAGAGGCGTGAAGATGTGGGGTGCGGGGAGAAAGGAGACGGGAAGGGGGAGAGGGTGGATGGGGGAATGGCGCTCCGATCGGGCAACTGGAGACGCATTGGTGTCCTGTGTGGACACGGAACATACAGGTCCAGGCAGCGAATTTTCTCGCGAACGGCTCGTTACAGTATCCGTTCGAACGCGGGCTGGCAACGCCGAGGCGCCCATCGAAGGAGTCGGCTGGTGGGCACGCCCGGGTAGTATCTGAACCCGCCCTCGGCGCCGTAAAAGTTTTTGGGGGTTGGCGCCGGGGGGGCCGAAGTGCTTGCGGGTGCCAGGAGCCCGAGGAGCTCCAAGGGGGGCCGAAATTCTGGGCCCACGCATCCCGCCTCGGGGGGAGTTGTTAAACCTCTTCCCCTGCCGTCTCTATGGCGCCGCCGCCGCTTCCCGCTACTGTACTGACTATCCTGTACCGCAGACCGCAGCTGATGATTTCGATTCAAGACGCCATGCGGAGCTTGGGTCGGCACCGCGGGCCGACCCCACGCTAGCGTGAAAGGAAGAGTTGCGGATATTCGCTATGTCGTCGTCCCTACTCTTGTGTTCATATGTCATACTAACATCATCTCACCGAACAGTTGAAGTCATGCCGATGCGAACAATTCAGAGCAGTAGTGATACCAATATCATGTCATCATTACGCCCCACATTTGCCGGGTATCGTGTCCATATGGCAAGTCAGTTTTCCGCCTGCGTGATCTTATGTTGCCCATGATCCATAATCCTGCTGCTTCTGCCGAGGCCATTGTTCTTCCAGCCCGATGTATGTATTTTGCTTCGCCTTGCCAGTACAATGCCTCCTGACATGTTGTACCTCTTGATTGCGAGTCGTCCGCGCACGTTTCGCGCGATATAGATATCCGTCGCGCACCGTCTTTTGCAGTTTTGCAGTCACAGTCTTGTCGGCACAAGTTATATCATCCCTCGGGTACGTCGCAGGGTAATTCCACGTGTGGAGCCCCATTCAGAGCAAGAGTTTGTCGACTCCGCGCTACGCACGGGACGAAGGATAAGCAGTTCGCCTCCTTGCGTCGCTTGGAGGTGGGCGAGCTTAATCTCGACCGTTCCGTCCTTCGTCCAGAGTTCTGCTGGATGAACCGACCAAGCGGCGATTGCCTTGGGGAGGAGGACGAGGAGGAGGCGGAGGAGGAAGAGGAGGAAGAGGAGGAGGAGGAGGAAGAGGAGGGGAATGGGGAGGAAGGGGAGGGGGACGAGGAGGAGGAGGAAAATGAGGAGAAGGAGGAGGAGGAGGAGGAGAAGTAGGAGGGGGAGGAGGCGGAGGAGGAAGAGGAGCTGAGCCAGCTGAGCTGAGCAAACCGTTTGAGTCACGAGAGCAGTTTTACGCAACATTGGTTGCCGTTTCGCGCTCAGGAAATCTGCCACCCAGTGCCCGTGGTCACCTCGCGGCGGCGTCGCGCAAAGAAAATAGGAGGGCGAGGGAAGGAACGACAATACAAGGGGGAGCAGTGGATGAGGAGGAGGACGGAGGCGGGGAGTGGCGGAGATTTCGGAGATTTCGGATGACCATTTGGTATCCAGGATTTGGGGGGGCGTTTTGCGCCAGTCGGGGCGCTTTCGCGAGGCGGGGCGCTTTTTCTTCGGAGTTCACAGATCCTGTCTCGTCTGACGATCGAGACGAGTTGGTGTGATCTGGTAACACCTTTCGTGCGACAGTGATCGGTGGTGTGAAATTGGCGGAGCTAACTTCGCAGCAGGTCGTGTGTTGTGCACGAGCGAATACGACCAGGACTATGCCCAAAAATTGCCGCGGTGTTTCTCCAGTAGGGCGGGGGGAGGGGCGAAGGAGGATCCAATCGCCAGTGCCCATGGGCAGGGCCACAAAGCCCGCTCGACCACGCCCCGTCGGTGAGGCTGCCCGCGGCAGACGTGATGTTATTGTCGGTGGGCCTCCACCAGCCGTGCCTCTCTCTCTCTCTATTTGTCTCTCCCTCTGTCTCTCTCTCTCTCTCTCTCTATTTGTCTCTCTCTATGTGTCTCTCTCCCTCTATTTCTCTCTCTCTCTCTATTTGTCTCTCTCTCTCTCTCTCTATTTGTCTCTCTCGGGTTTCCGTTGTGAGGAACCGTGTTCTGAAAGCGCGGCGGAGGGCAGAGGGCGGGCTAAGTGGAGGGGAAGGTTTTGAGATGGTGTTCGGTAGTCGGCGTGCTGTTTCATACGCTGCTGGTGTCGTCAACGTCACCACCCCAACCCGGGCTGGCCACAGCGCACTCAGATGATGCTATGAAATGTTCGGTTTTCGCTCAGGATCACATTTATCAAGATAGTATGGGTTCAGGACGTGCGTGTTGGGCCATCCGTTGTAACATTGGCCAGCTCGCGCAGAGAGTCGTCTTGCACTGACGTTGCAGAAGACCTGTCGTGCCCCTTTGCAAGTGCATTGCACGAGGGTGCTTTGAGTGTCGGACCGGAGCGCACTCAAACGCAATTTGTGGAGCGTTGTGACAGCGAGCGTATAGCAGAGCAGATCGACCAGCGTCATTGCATAGGCAAGCGCGTGAACATTGCATGTGGTGACTATTCTGAGCGCCGCAGCCGCAGCCGCGAGGGGGTCTAAGGATGGTAACTCGATGTCTTTGTTCTCGAAGGCTCTCGTGTCTCGGGGCCATCATATTTCCCAACCATCCTGTTGTGTCTGGTCCGGGTTCTGAAGAGACGGCGCCCCACGTCCACTCCTCCCGCTGCCCCCTCCCCATCCGCATGTCAACCAGTTCGGCATACCTGTCACACGTTTCGTGGCCCCACACGGACCTCCACCGAAGGCCCCAGTGGCAGTGCTCGCATGCGGTCCCCATGCCCAGTTCGGCACACCCGTCGCACGCTTCGTGGCCCCATAGCAAGCTCCACCGAAAGCCCCAGTGGTAGTGCTGTCATTCAGTCCCCGCGCCCAGTTCGGCACACCCCTCGCACGTTTCGTGGCCCTGCCCCACTGGTAGTGCTCTCATGCGGTCCCAGCGCCCACTTCGGCACACCAATCACACGCTTCGTGGCCCCATAGCGATCTCCACCGAAGGACTCCTCGCACGCGTCCCCCCACCCCACATCCAATTCGGCAAGCCGTTTACACGTCTCGTGGCCCCACAGGGATCTCCACCGAAGACAATGCTCACAATTGGGCTGGTCACAGCTGCAAATAATTTGGCGCCTTGCTAAACTATTTGTTTTGTGTTTCGACGGCATTGGCAAGGCCTTCTCAAGTAGCCGGTTTGCATCATGGGTAATGTTGGGCGCCCGCAGTAAGCGTGACGTGGGCGACTTGGGCGAGGGCTGGGTACTTCTTATGAGGTCGCACGTGCTTCCAGTGCTGCTGGGGGGCTACAGACCTCATACCCGTATGCTGCTGCGGATGTCTTCCCGTAGCCGTGTCGGTTCATAAGTAATTAGTCATGGTAGCGGAGCTCGGTTCCCCATCCAGGCTCCCAACCGAACCATTGATTGACTTCGAGTTAGTCAGCATCCATAGCAGCGACGGCGAGCCTTGCGGGGCTGGCGGCTGTCGCGGGCGCGCCGCTGCTGGGCCTGTGGGGCGGTGGCGGCGGCTTGCGCGCAGCCTCTTCAGGACTCGGAGGCTGCAGCGCCTCTGGGGCTACCTGGGCGGGTGGCTTCAGCGAGCTTGCTCTAAGGAGCTCAAAGACGAGATCCGGTGGCAGCTGCGATGGCAGCCGCGGAGCAGATGCGGCAGCTGATCGCGCAGGTACAGGGGCTCACGACGGAACTCACGAGGCAAAGGGACCTGGTGGCGACCCTTCAGATCCAGAGGACGGAGGAGCTGGAGGCGTTGACGAAGCTCGGAGACGGTCATCGCGGATCTCGAGACGAAAGAGAAGGTGCAGTTCTTGGACGTCAAGGGCATCCGCAAGCCGACGGTCTTCAACAGCTATATGAAGACGTGAACGAGCTGGTGTTTCAAACCGAGCAATTTCCTGGAGGGCCTGGCGACCAGGATCAAGACGGCTCTGGACTACGTGCAGGAGCAAGAGGATGCGCTGACGGCCGAGGGCCGCGAGGAGATCGCGGGCCACCTGGAGGACGACGTCGACCCGAAGGTCGCGAACAGGCAGCTGTACGCGGCGCTGGCTCAGCTTTGCGACGGGGAGGCGTTGGGCTTGGCGCAGGAGACGCCAGACAACGACGGTTTCAAGACGTGGCGCATTATCTCGCGCCGCTTCGACCCACAGGACGCGTGGCGCAAGAGGGACACCGCGGGCACCCTGATCCAGCCAGGCTCGATCGATGCGAAGCAGATTGCCAAGTGGGAGGAGCGCCTGCGCGTCCACGAGCGCCGGGCGAACCACCCGGTGCAGGAGAACGTGAAGGCTTCGGCGCTCATCAGCATGACGAAGGGTGTGCTCAAGGATTACCTGGTGTTCAATGCGAACAAAATGAAGACGTACGTGAACGTGCGCGAGGAGATCCAGAGCTACCTCGAGAGCACCCAGAATGAAAGAGCGGCGCCGATGGACATGGGAGCGCTGGGCCCTGGCAAGGGAGGCGCGAACATCATCGGCCACAACTGCGGCCAGAAGGGCCACGCGAAGAAGGATGAGTGGTATCCAGGCGAAGGCGCCTACCTGCCCAATCAAGGCGGCAAGCAGAATTCAAGGGCGGCAAGGGCAACGGCAAGGGCAAGAGCGGAACGGGGGACGAGAACCCGAAGAGCGGCGGCAAGACCCCCCATGGCGGCAAGGCCCCGCAGCTCGGCTCGTGCAGGGGCCGTCCGCAGCAGCCCACGCCGTTCCAGGGCTACTGCTCGCTGTGCTGGAGCTGGGACCACCAGCTCAAGGACTGCCCTTCTGCGCGCTGGCAGGGGCAGGCCGCGAACCAGGGCCGCGGCGCCAACGACCTGGAGGGGCGCGAGCTTCCCGAGCCGGAGACGGATCAGCCTGGGGAGCCGCTGCGGCCTGGACCTCTGCACACTGGAGCTGAACGCCGTGGAGGAGGGCGACCAGGAGTTCTCCTGCGCGGCGGTGGGCTATGGGGCAGCGGCCAGCGCGGCGCCGAACACCTGGCTCCAGGACGCGCAGGCGAGGCCGACGGTCTCCAGCGAGAGCGGCACCAGCTACTGGGCGGCCAACGGGCAGCCGGCGCACGACGAGGGTAGCAAGGTCATCGACGCGCTAGCGGATAACGGCAGCGTGAGGCGGCTGAGGTGCACATCAACCAGAGTGCACCGCGCGCTGCCGGCGGTGTCGAAACTGGTCGATAAGGGCCACGAGGCGTACTTCGGGCCACGCGGTTGCTACGTCAAGCACGTCGCGAGCGGCGGGCAGCTGCCGGCGCGCCTGAGGCGCGGGGCGCGCGCAATCTAGTTGAAGAAGGTGAACAGGTGCACGGGGCAGCCTGCCCCGGAGCTGAGCGCGATGTCGGGAAATGCACGGCATGCGCGGCAGTAAGACCTGCGAGGGGAGTTGCGGAGTGCAGCCCGATCGAGGCTGGCGCCAGCGCGGCAGCGCCTGCTGAGACGGTTCCCGTGGAAGCCGAAGACGACGGGCCCACCGGGGCGAACCCGCCAGGCGCGGTGGCACCGCGGCGGCTCGAGCCCACTCAGGCCGAGCGCGATGTGGCTGGCCGTGCGCTGCGCAGAGCACGGCGCGGCGACTGCGCGGGCGAACGCGGCCGCAATGCATCGTCGACGGCCGGGCGCAGGGCGAGAGCATCTGGTCGACGTGACCTCCATGGACTACGCGTTCTTCGGAGGCGACTCGGGCCGGGCAGCTCCCACCTTGGTGCTGCGTGCTGCGCGAGTACAAGGGTCGGCGGGCGGTGCCCATCGCGGCGACGAGCAAGGCTTCGCGCGAGACGTGGATCATTGAGGCGGCGGCGGACGCCATTAGGTACGCGGGCGCGAAGCACTTCGTGTCCAAGAGCGACTGGAGGCCGGCCATCGTTGACGCGAGGTCATCGAGAAGCTGGGCGAGTCCTTCACGATTGTGAAGGAGGAGGGCCCGGTCGGCGCGCGCCAGGCCAACGGTGCGATCGAGCGGGCCTTGCAGTCCGTTGGCGAATCGTGAGGGCGCTGAAGCTGGCGGTGGGGCGCCAGTGCAGGATGGTCATCGAGCGCGACCACATGATCGCGCCGTTTCTCGCCAACTACGCCGGCGCGGTGATCGGCTTGTTTGACGCGGGGGCGGGCGGGCGCGCGGCGCGCGAGTGGCTTCGGGGCAAGAAGTGCCGTCGCGAGCTCCCGCCGTTCGCCGAGACGGCGCTCTACCTTCCGGCGAACTGGGGCAGGGGGCCGAAGAACAAGCTGGACGCCAAATTGCTCACGGGCGTCCTATTGGGCGCGAAGCTGATGATTCAGGAGCTGCGCGTCGGCTCGGAGACGGGCGCGGCGCGCGCTCGGGCCTTCAAGGGGAAAGCGGGCGACGCGCGCTACGACGTCGAGCTGCTGAAAAGCTGCAGGGCTCACCGTGGACACCAGCGCCGGGCGCGGCTCGAGACGGGGGCGACGCGCCGGCGGCGCGGATTCCGGGGCATCCGATGAGGCGTTTTTGCCAGCGGGGCCGCCGGGGGCACGGCCAGGCGCGGGCCTGGGCGGCGTCTTCGGACCGCGGCGCGCGCGCATGCGCAACGAGGTCGAGATCGAGAGGTTCGGCCGCGCTCCGGGGTGCATCGGGCGCGAGAGCTACGCGGCTGGCCCTCTGGCGCGCAGCCGCAGCGAGGAGCGCAGGGCCAGGGTCGCGAAGTCGGGGGGGGGGGACTTCGACATGCGCGAGCGCGTGGGGGCCGCGGTGGAGCGCCGCGATGAGACGCGGGCGGCGGCGCCAGAGGCCGTCGAGGCGCTTGGGCAGCCGGCGCAGCGGGCGCTTGGGACGGCCCCGGCGGCGCCAGGGCAGCCAGCGCCGCGGGCGCCGAGCACGGCGCCGACGGCAATGCCAGCGCGGCGCGGCACGCTTCGGGGGCCTGGCCAGCCGGCCCCCAGCGGGTCGCGAGGGGCGGCTGCGTCCAGCAGCTCAGCAGCGATCGCCCGCACGTCCTCCCCAGCGCCGAGGCGGGAGGAGGTCGCGACGGCGGCTGCTTCGAGCTCGGCGCCGGCGGCGCCAGCGTTCGGAGACCTGCGCGGCGCGCCCGGTCTGGCGGCCACGCGCAGGGCGAGGTGCTGAAGCGCTGCGCCGAGGACCCACAGGGCCCCGCGCAGGTGAAGCGAGAAGGGGCGGACCGGCCCACGGGCGTGAGCGCGCTAGAGGAAACCGAGGGCATCATGGGCGACCTGGGCTTTTTCGGCGCGCGCGTGACCGAGCTGTTCGGGCCTGGCATGTCCACGAACAGAGCGGCGTCGTTGGGCCTGAACCCAGGCCGCGCGTTCGACCTGAGAGCGCGCGACGAGGGCGGCGCGCCGTGGGACTTGGCAGCCCCAGCGCGTCAGTAGATGTGCGAGGCGATCATGGGCGAGGAATGGCCTCACTTGCTCGCGGGGTCGCCCATGCACAGGTCGTCCAGTTTAATCGTGACAGGAACAAGGATCCAGACGCGCACGAGCAGAAGGTGATCGAGGGCATCCTGCGCCTGAGGTTCTGCGTGAAGCAGTACGTCAAGCAGGTCGTGGAGGGGCGGCGCTTCCTCCACGGGCACCCAGACCGAACGTGGAGCTGGAAGCTGGACTTCACTCTGGAGCTCCTGCAGCGGCTGGGTGTTTCGCGAGTTGTGGGACATCAGCGCTGCCGGGGCCATCGCGCGGTGGATGTCGGCGGCGAGGCGACGGGCCCGGTTCTCAAGCCCGCCAGCTGGATGATCAACTCGGAGCGCATCCTGGCCGAGGTGCCGAGGAGGTGCGAGAACGAGACGCTACCTCGCAGCCAGTGGCACTAGCACGTTCGGCTGCTGGGAGGATCGACGACGAGGTTGGCGCAGAATTATCCACCAGCCGTGGTGGCAGCCATCTCTGAAGGCGCAGATGGTGCTCTGTCGAGGGAGCTCGATCCCGATCGCCCTTCGCGCGCGCTTCGTCGATGTGTCTGTTCATGCCGCGAAGTGCCCCATCATGTGAGCAGTTGCTTCATGTGTTTGCTCGTGCACCGTTGCATTCGCATCGCAGGGCCTGCGCGCCAGAGGGTTTACCCCAAGGCTGTCGCCTCCGCCGCCGACCCCGAAGTCGGCCTTGAGTTTCTTCGGGGGGCATCGTTTGAAGGTCGGTATCTGTTTTTGGAGTCGCTCTGGGGCTCTCGCGGGCATCTTGGGCCGCTTGCGGGGCCCTCCCAGGGCGATGTCGGGAGCCCTTGAAGCCGTCTTGAGGTTCTCTGGGGCCCCCGTCGGGCCTGGCGTGGATCTTGGTGGAGTTTGTTTCAGACGTCGGAAAGCCCGCGGTGGCTCGAGCTCGAGCGATATTGGGCGCTCCAACCCCTCCTGGCTTCGTTCCATAGGCGCGGGGGGGCGGCTGCGAGGATGGGCGACGCCCTCGCCGAAATGGAAGAGCGGGGGGCCCCAAGAACTGAGCTCTCGCGGGGTGGGGGTGTCAGGGCGCGGCGGGGGCGCGGTGGGGGGCGCTGGCAGTTTTCTGGCCAGAGATTGTCGTGTGGTGGGGCTCGGAGACTTGAGCTTTCGTGGGGTGGGGGGGCGGGGCACGCTGGGGGCGCGGCGCTAGTTTTCGGGTCGGAAGCTGTCGCGCGGGGGCCCCAAGAATTGAGCTCTCGCGGGGTGGGGGCGCCGGGGCGCGGCGGGGGCGCGGGAGGAGGTGTTGGTAGGTTTCGGACCAGAAATTGTATCTCGGGGGGTCCCGAGAACTGAGTTTTCGCGAGGCGTGGGTGCCGGGGCGTGGGGGCGGGGTGGGTGGGTGGTAGGTTTCGGTCAGAAATTGTCGTGTGAGGGGTCCCAAGAATTGAGCTCTCGCGGGGTGGGGGCGCCCGGGCGTGGTTGGGGGCGCGGGGGGGGGGGTAGGTTTCGGACAAAAATTATCGCGTGGGGGGTCCCAAGAATTGAGCTCTCGCGGGGCGGGCGCGCGGGGGCGCGGCGGGAGGGGGGCGCTGGTAGGATTCGGGCCAGGAGCTGTCGCCCGGGAGGTCCCAAGAACTGAGCTCTTGTGGGGCGGGGGTGCTGGGGCGTGGTGGGGGCGCGGGGGGTGGTGGTGGTAGGTTTCGGGTTAGAAATTGTCTCCCCGAGAATGTAGCTCTCGTGGGGCGGGGGTGCTGGGGCGCAGTGGGGGCGCGCCGGGGAGGGGTGTTGGTGGGTTTCGGGCCAGATTGTCGCGTGGGGGATCCCAACAACAGCTCTCGTGGGGCGGGGGTGTGGGGACGTGGTGGGAGCGCGGTGGGGGGTGTTGGTAGGTTTCGGGGCGGAAATTGTCGCGCGGGGGGGCCCGAGAATTGAGCCCTCTTGGGGCGAGGGTGCCAGGGCGCATTGGGGCGCGGCGGGGAGGGGTGTTGGTAGGTTTCGGGCCAGATTGTCGCGTGGGGGATCCCAACAACAGCTCTCGTGGGGCGGGGGCTGCGGGGACGTGGTGGGGGCGCGGGGGGAGGTGTTGGTAGGTTTCGGGCCAGAAATTGTCGCCTGAGGGGTCCGCCCCAGAAAGGCTTCCGGACAGGCCCCAGTAGTTCTGACCTCGAAATTTACAAACGACCTCTCGCCAGAGCCGTCCCTACCCGATCGAATACCGTACCGAAGAACCAGGTAGTACGGCGACGGTCAGAAAGCCAACAATCAATACAGTTGTATATCATGATATCGATGTATATTTATAGACCGATCGAGGGTTGTCCCGCTGGTGTTCCTTTGGCTTGCTCCCCCCAACAGCACAACTCCTCCGCGTTGGGCTGGTTTTGTAGGTCTCTTCGTTCCCACGATAGCATTTGACTCGATGGATTCACGCCGTGCGCGCGTGGGCCACTAATGTCCGTTTCCGCATGCGTGCAGATGATATGTGTGTTTTGCACCGCGCCAAAACAGCAGGTCCAGGCCAGAAAATGATTGAGAGTGGTCGTCTTTTCTGCATCTGCGCAATGTTGGCCCCGCCGGCATGATCGGCCGCGTAATCAGGTAAAGCTCTGGCGATTGGTCGGCAGCCCAGCGTGCCTGGACAAGGCCAAAGGCGGGGGCGGCGGCAGGGGAGTGCGAATGTGATCTGAAGCATAGCAGGAGCGACGATGTGCGAGCCAACGAAAGAAACACTGACCAAGTGCAGCGACGCGAGCCGAGGCGAAGCAGAGCCACGCGGGCGACATCGAGCAACGCCGAGCACACCGTACACTGAGCACGCCCAAAGCGAAACGACACCCCGAATGTGTCCAAAGTTTACGCGAACGCAGATTTATCCTCAGGCAAGGAACTCGAAACATAATCAGCGCAGCACGGGAGCACGGGCAGCATTCATAGAACACTGCAATCGCAATTCGTAGCCGACCCACAGACCTGTAGATAATACGACGGTCACAGCGACAAGAAGAGCCTTACCGAGCAACATCAGACAAGACAATTCGGAACGCGGCCAGAAGTATGCAGCCAAAGGCAGGGCGCACACATCTCGGCATACTTCAATACGGGGAAGCACAGAGGCTTGCACACCCATACACACACTCAAGCCGTACCTCCAGAAGCTCACATAGTTTGCCAAACCAGCGAACACCATAGGAAATGACAACATACCCAACACATGTAAGCCTACATGAAGCTTGTCGGTTGGATGCTTGCCTTGCGTCGCTTACCTTGCATGTTCTTGTCATTTCCTGGATGTTGGCTGAACGCGAAAAATGACAGGTGAGGTTTATGGTGCTCGCTTTCGCCTTCCCTGGGCAGCCCCGCTTGGGTTCGCATCCGCATCTTTGACCGAGCCTTCTGCCAGGTCGATGGATCGAAGTGGCAGTCGCCCTCGGTGCAGCCAGGCGTCGAGATGAGGCGAGGACGACGATCGGCGGACTCTTCTCTCTTGACGTCCTCCTTCGCCATCAAGAGGTCCAGCGGGCCTGCAGGGCTGTGCCTGCTCCCTCCCCGACCGCGGCTGCCGAGCGAACTCTGTCAACCCAGGACTGCTCGAGGCACTGCAGAGTCTCGTGCCGAGGGGGTGGCCTCCGAGCCCCGGGGTCCGGGAAGAGCTCGGAGAGGGCCGGCAGGGCGGGATGGCGCGCCAGTCGCTGCGGGGCCTCGCTACGCCATGGAGGGTTCGGAGAAGCCCTTCGCCATGGCCGAGGAAAGCGGAGGCGGGGCTCAGTCAGAGGTTTCGTGACAGAGGGAAGGGGAGAGGAAGGCCTCGTGGCCGCTTGCATCACCGCTTCTTCGGCGCTGGGTGGCAGGCGCCCAACGCAGAAGATAGCTTCTGAGGATATTGGATTACGAGTTGGGCAAGTCCGGGAAGGCTCAGATTTGGTAACGTTGTCTGGCGATCATTCGTTTGCACACGAGTTAGCCGATGATTTCTGAAGGCCGACCGCGTTCACAAGGACTTGGCGGGGCGGTTGCACACTACCATTCGTGAGGCACCGAAGCCTCGGTCTGCCACGCAGAATGATGTCGTAAGCATCGCGGCGGGGAGTCTCGACAGGTTCACGTTCGGGGGCAAAGACGAGTTGTTGGGCCCGTCTGGGGACAAGCACGGGGCTCACCCTGGCGACTTGCAGTGTCTTCAGGCGCGTCGATCCGATTGACAAGACGGCCTGGCCAATCTGGTCAAACAGCTCTCTCTAGTCATCGTCGAAGAGGTGAGGTCTGTCAAGGACGAGCACCGTGGGCACAGTCTTGGCTCGCAAGGAAAAGAAACGGACTTGACGGATGACCAGTTCGAATGGGCTGTCGGCACTGGTGCCTCAACGGAAGTGGCCGCTCTTCGAGACACCTTTGAAGCTATACCACCTCCCAGGGGGCACTAGCTAGCCGGCGGGGCTGTGTAGCGTCGGCAATGCCCGAGGCTAGATACCCCAGAATCACAATCGTAGAGACCTTCCAATTTTCAGACATCTCCCCAATTATTTCCGTCCCCCCCCGCTCCGATCTAGGCAGTCGTATGCCGTTTTCGACACTCCAGGACGATGGTTGTCCTGAGATGTTTGGTACACCATTTCCTTGTAGGTTCTTATTGGGGGTCCCAGGCTACTCCGGGCCATCCGACGTCAAGGACGACACATGTTTTCCGCAGTTTTCGGAGATCACACACCCGTAGCTCTGGCGGAATTTCAAGCGGGCACGGCTATGCGCGCGAGTCCCGCGGATGCGGATTTCCTGCAACACATTCTTTGGCTGTGGGCCCTTGAGGTGCAGCCAGGCAAACATTCTGCAAGAGTTGATTATCATCCTGCGACGTGCAGCGAGCGCATGGAAGAGAACGCGCTGCCTCCGAGCCCACGTATCCTGTCGTACCACGCGTACATGGGTCTCTGAAGGGGAGGAAGGGATGCGGGGATGCGGGAGGGAGCAGGGCGAAGGGCGGTAGGCGGAGGGCAGAGGCGGCAGAGGGCGGCGAGGGAGTGGTGGAGGCGGGAGGGCGGAGGGCAGAAAGAGAGAGGGTCACGTTCGAGGGGCTCGGACGCTGTAGACGGGCCGCGGCCTCAGGTTGGGCCACGCCAGCGGGGGCGCGCGCTACAGGTGTGTCCGCCCCCTGATGACCCATCCCTTGGCGGCGCCGCTGCCCCTGGCGCACATTGGGGACGGGGTCTGGCACCTGGGGGCGGAGGACATCACCTGGGCGTATCGCGCGCCCCCTGGGCGTGACCCCCCTTGAAAGCGCGGCCGATCAGGATGGCCCTGGCTTGGACGGGGTGGAGACATCTTGAAGGGGGCAGGAGGGGCGGGGGCGATGTGTGTGTTCCCAGCGATTTTGGCTCCCGGGCCGCTTTGGCTCTCTTACGGCTGCAGTCTGGTGCGCCTCGAAAGATCCGCGCGGAGGGGCCTGGGGAGACCACAAAAACGGAGGCCTGAGAGGCCCTCCCGGGAGGAGCGCCGAAAGACAATTGGTTTGGGATGCGTTTCTCTTTTCTTTCGTGCTCCTTTCCTGCCCCTCCCCTTCCTTCCCTCTCCTCGTTCCCTCTCCTCGTCGCGTGCCCGAGGCCGTTCTGGCAGAGACAGGGCCACGCATTCTTTGGCGCATGTCGGGGCTCGAGTAGCCAGTTGCCCACTCTGCTGCTTCATTTTGTGAGGTCATGAAGAGGCATTTTGCTGTAATGCTGGTTCGCCTGAAAAGAAAGTGTCGTGCTCCGTCGAACTCTTAATCGCATGCATCTGACGGTCCGAAGGGAAGGATGAGAGGAGGAGGAGGAGGAGGAGGAGGAGGAGGAGGAGGAGGAGGAGGAGGAGGAGGAGGAGGAGGAAGGGAAATAGAAAGAGAACAAGACAGAGAACGAGAAAAAGGAGTAGGAAGTGGAAGAGAAGGTATCAGCGATAAGGGAGACGGGAGAATAGCGAGAACTAGGATGAAACAATGACGCGGACAACGACGAAGACGACGAGAGGGTCTACAACGCGGCTTCCCTTTCCGCAGACCTTCTTGGTTTGTTTGTTCTCGGTGTGAGTGGCATTATGTGGGGCAAGACGCGATTAACAAACAGCAGCAGGAGGCGAAGGATGAGGAGGACGATCACAAGCAATCTTGTCGCATTCTAGCCTACGCAAGCGGGGCGGGCCGAGGCGCCAAAGTGAGTCTCATCGTGGGGCACCGCGAGGACGACGTCGTGCAGTCGACTAGATGCCGGCAGGTATCCCCGATGGAGAGCCACGGGTGCGCCCAGAAGGATGTCGACGCGATGAGGACCGCGGCGCCCCAGCTTCCCCTTGCAGTCGTGCCAGTGGGAGAGGGGACACGCTTCTTGTTGTTGAGGGTGGTGTGTTGGGGGCTTTGCCCTGTGCCCAGTGGAGAGCCACTGCGGGCTTCTGCGCCGCATTTTCATACGCCCGCAGATGTTCGGTGTCCTCCTGTCAGCCGCCGAGCGCCATGCCGAGGCTCGAGGTCAGCGCCCACGAGGGGGATGGATCCTGGCCAGGCGGAGGCCCGCGGTGGCCAAGTAGGTGACGGCCGTGGGGCCTTCCAAGGCTTGCAGAGGGAGGGGTCGGCTGCCCCTTCGCTCTGGTTGCCCCCAGCCCGCCACGCGCGCCCCCCGGCCGCCGTAGCCAGCGTGGACGTATGCTTGTCGCGTCCGCCGTCGCCGTGGACGCCAGCGCTGCCGTGGGAGCCAAGACGGCGCTGACCCCGTGGCCCGCGCAGTTATCGTGCACTGTTGGTTGCCCATCGCGGAAGATTCTTGCTTGTTGCTGCCCGCTCTGTGTTACCTCGGGCTGCAAGGTCCTGGCACCTGGCAGTTAGAAACAGGCGGATACGCCGTATATGACTTGGCTGAGCATCCTTGGTGGTACAATCGAAGCCCCGAACACATATTTCATACGCGTATGCTCCACACAGCATATCTACATAACCCCAAAGTTAATTCCGAATCTTGTCAACAGAGGGAGAGAGAGAGAGAGACAGAGAGAGACATAAAGAGAGAGAGAGAGAGAAGCACAAATAAATAATGAGGGGGGAGGGCGGGCGAGAGTGAGGAAGGGGGAGGGATATGTGTTATGTCTTCTATATCTATACATATGTACGTATATATATATATAAGGAGAGGAAGAATCTCTCTCTAGATCTATATTTACATATGTGTATACATATAGATATTATGTATATATATGTGTAAACAAACATAACCCTGAAGCTGGCAACCGAAGCGAGTACCAACGTCAATTATGAGCGATGCGTTTGTGTGCCATACGCAAAATAGCACACACACACACACACGAGCGCCTGCAACCACACAGCCGCAGATTATATGTACATATATATATTTAGATACAAATAGGTAGATTAACATATCAATGCATATGTGTATATATCTATATGGATGTATGTGGATGTATGTTGTTTTTTTTTTTTCCGTAGCCATTTTGGCTCAAGTCCGGAGCCAGTCGGCTCAGGACCTGACCACTCTGGCGTGGGGGAAGTCTGCGGCCCCCAACAGTGACACCTCACGGCCAGGCAGGTGAGGATTTCGGCAGGCTCCTTTGGAGCCAAGTTATCACGACTACTTTCAAGCGCCATACCTTACACGGCGCCCGCGAGCCATGGCGGCAGAGCAGCTTCGTCGCCAGCCGTGGGTGCAGCGGCCCCAGCATCCCTGGCGGACAGCGGGCTACGGTTGGGGTCGGCGCCAGGTGTATCGCAAGAAGATCTTCTGCACCGAGTGCCCCCGCTACCTCTTCGAGGACAGGCTGCAGGCGGCCAACTACACATGCCTGTGCGGGGCATGGCTGCCGAGCCACAGTAGCTGGGGGCAAGGCGGCGGCCAGCCGCACGAAGGTGATGCAGGAGGTGTGCAGGCGCAACGCCAAGCATCTTACCTCGAGGTGGCGCTCCGAGCCATGGCTGGCGATGGCAAGGACGCACCCACCAGCCGCAAGGCGGAGGAGTTGCTGCAGCTGCTGGCGCCCAAGCAGCCGCCTCCACCGCCCGAGCGCCCAGCGGCGCTTCTGCAGCGGGCCAACACGCGGGTGGGCAAAGCTACGAAGGCGCTGGAGAAGACTCGCCAGCGTTGGATCCGCTCGAAGGACGAGTACATGGCGGCACAGAAGGCTTTGGAGGAAGCCACCGAGGAGCTGGTGGCTGCAGAGCGAGATGAGGTGGAGGCCGCCAGGAGAGTCATCCCTGAGCGGGAGGACGAGGAGCAGAGCCCCGTCATTGATGTGGGCACGGCCATTCGGGACGGCATCAAGTTGCAATTCTCTTTCGGCAGGCTCCTCGACGGCATGGAGCTTCAAGAGTCGGACCGCAAAATTGTGGAGGAACGCTCGGAGGCCGTCAATTCGCTGCTCCAGAAGGCAATTCGCGAGGCGATGGGCGGCCTCACCACGGACCTCGAGAACATCCAGAAGGAGATGGCCGAGGTCGCGGCCAGAGGGACCAAGAAGCGCAAGACGGAGGATCAGCCTAGCGCAGGCGTTTTTGTACCTCCTCGTGCTTCTCAGCAGCCTGCTGGCAGCCAGGCCCCCGCCCCAGGCGAGTCGCAGCCAGTTGGTTCAGGAGCACAGAACGAGGCACCTGCCAACGTGGCGCCGCCCAGGGCCGACGGGAATGCGCCCGCCGCGGAGCTGGCTGCCAAGCGGGAGGCCCTGCAGCAGGAGGCGGATGCCGAGATTCAGCGGGTACGGCAACGGGTCCAGCAGTCTCTTTGACGACACAGAGGAGTCGGCGAAGGACTACACCCTGTATATGCGCAACCTCTCCAAGTTCGGTCCCACAGCACGGCATCTCCTCCAGAGGCGGGAGCACGATTTTTACGTCCTGCCAGAGGTGCACACGCGTCCAGATGAGGCAGATGAGCATCTAGCGACATGGGCACAGGCAGGTTTCAAGCCAGTGCTCACCCCCAGTAGAGCAAATGAAGTCAGTTCTAGGCCAGGCGGAGTGTCCGCAGGCTGCAGGAAAGTTTTTCAGTTCGAATCTTTTCGCCACTTGTCCAGGGATCCCAGTGCGACAGTAGGACTCAGAGATCTCCAGAAGGACCAGCAACAGCTCTCCAGTGGAGTAGATTTCCACGATTTCGTAGGTTTTCAGACAAAGGTGGCAGGACAGGCTTTCAGCATTTTCGGGATCTATCTCACGACAGGAGTCGGCCTGCGAGGCGAGAACGCCCGCAAGCTTGCATCTCTAGGAGCTCTACTGCAGACGTTGCGCACACCTTGGCTAGTTATCGGAGACTGGAACTGCGAGCCAGAAGAACTCCAAGTGAGTGGATGGCCGCATCTGGTCGCAGGCGAACTCAGAGTTCCTAGTAATGTAGAGTACACTTGCACGGTGCCGCCTTGTCGCATGCTTGATTTCTTAGTTTGCTCGTCCTCAGCAAGGCACATGATCAGCTCAGTGGTAGCAGACACGGAACCCATCGCTGGCGCTGGCAAGAGCCACTATGGTTTGGTCGTAAGCTTGAGGCTACGCATGTCAGAGTCAGTGCGCCGAGTTTTAAGCCTACCCAGGCCTTTTCAGCAACCGCCAGTCATGAAACGTGCCCGCGACCCGACGAGCAAGCGCTCGAGGAAGGCAGCAGCGGCTACGGCACAGCAAGGCAGCGCGAGCGACAGGGCAACTCCTGTGCCACGCAACCAGCCCAGACAGAAGATCACGTTTAAGAGCCCGCCGACGCTGGAGTATTTATGCCCAGACGATTTTGAGGAGGAGGATTTTGGAGGTACGGACGGTTGGTTGGACGGTGGAGGTGAGGAAGACGACGAAGCGCCTCCAGTAGGCGCAGCGCAGCCTGAGGCCAGCGAGTTTAAGCATACGCTCCACCAGCTGTCTGCCGTCCAGTTGGACAGTCTGTGGCAAGGGCTACAGACAAGTCTGCACTCGGACAACTTCTCGCAGCCTCCGAAGTATATAGCAGAGTCTTCAGCTTTCCAACTAGATCGGGCGTCTTCTGTAGCTGGAGGCATGGAATACGCCCGATGGGTTTCCAGAATGGAAGAATTCTTCATCCTGACACACGGGATCCCGCCGCAAAAGCGAGACGCTTATCGCGGACGAGGACAGGCCAATAAGCCAGTTTTCAAGCCAGAAGCGCAGGGAGCAACCTTTGTTTCAGCGTCAGATCCAGTCGCACACTGGTGGGCCACAGTCGCGTTTCTTTTAGAAGAACTCAGAAGTTGCTTGCCCAAGAGAGGATCGCGTTTCGACACGCTCCTGACCAGAGTGCGCGAGCTCGTGAGCCAGCTCCCCTCCTCGTCCCTCATGCCTCTTCCTTCTCGGCAGTGGGGAGTCTGGAAGGAGGGGCTTGGCCACCTCGACAAAGCGTCTGACGGAGAGATCGCGGATTTCAGTCTGAGGGCAAGACAAAACGCGACCAGGGCGCACCGAGTTCTGCAGAGTGTGAACCAGCAAGGTTTTAAGGATTGGGTTCTGCAACAAGCCCTGGCGGGAGGCAAGGGTCTTTATAGGATGATCAAACCCAAGAATGTTTTCGTAGGGGAAGTGAGGTCAGGCACGACCTCAGCGCCAGACGCCATCAGCCGTATCAGTCTCAAGGAAAAGGTGTGGGGCGCCAAGTGGGGGGCGGGCACCTCATGCACTCCAGAGGCTGTTCTTTTGTGGCGACGGGCGCAGAGGCAGGCCATCTTGAACCCACTCCCGCCATTGGATCCTGAGCACGTTCAGAGAGTAATAGCACGAGTGCCATGTCGGGCGAATGGAGTTGATCAGTGCAACAAGCGAGATTTTGCCTTTCTGCCCCCAGCGGGGATCCGCCAGCTTACAGATCTTTTTAATTTCATCGAAGCGCGTGCTTGCTGGCCATGGCAGCTTATGACGGTTTTAGTCATGTTGCAGGTCAAGAACAGAGAGGCAGACAGGGCCATAGGTCTACTGCCGTGGCTACCCCGCCTTTGGGGCAGACTCCGCCACTTTGAAAGGGCGCAGTGGTGTGCGCAGAGAGCGGGGCATTGGGACACGGCCATTGCGGGCTCATCGGCGCTGCGTGTAGCTGTTTGGAGAGCGTTTCAGGACGAGCTTGCAGAGCAGTCATGCCTCCCAGACCTCGAGCACGCCAGCCTTCTTTGGGATGTTCAGGGGTTTTATGACTCCCTGCGGTGGGAGCTCGTAGCTTCGAAGGCACTCGCTTTAGGTTTCCCAGCGATCTATCTGGCGCTGGAGCTTCAGATGCATATGTCGCCGAGGTTCCTGAGGGAGGAAGGATGTTTCTCAGAAGCTATACAACCCAGTCTATCTCTGATTCCAGGCTCAACAGGAGCTGTGGATCTAGGCAGGTGTGCCCTGTATTTTGTCTGCGAAGAAGTGGCCAGATGCCCACCCCCTTCTCCCAGCTTGCACACATGGGTCGACGACATAGTGCAGCGTTGTGAAGCACCCAGGCAGAGATTAGTGGAGACGCTGTTTCGTGCGGGCCAGCAGTTAGTGGCAGGCCTGCGCGACATCCACCTGGCTACAGCGGCCAAGTCATGCATCATCTCTTCATCGCCAGTAGCAGCTCGAGAGTTATCCCAGCGGTTTAAAGACGCCAACATCAGCATTCAGGTGAAGCCGAATGCACCAGATTTGGGACTTGATAGGGGCAGGATTTCGAAGAGTAGGCCAAAGCAAGCAGCGAGGCGCGCAGCAGCAAGTTTTAAGATTCGCAAGTTATCAAGGTTTGCACGTGGAGCGCGCAAACACCGGGAGCTGTCCAGGAGAATGATTTCGGTCTCGGCGTTCGCTCAGTCTCGTTACTCGGATCAAGTGTATGGGACAGCTCCCAGTGTAGTAACGCGGTGGAGACGGGCATTGGCAGACCTGTCGAGCAGGAAGAAGCACGGCAGATGCCTAACCACTCTCCTCGCGCTGGAGTATGGGACACAGGACCCAGCCTACACAGCGGTCTTTGATGTAGTCAAGATGTGGTTTTCTATCTTAGGAGACCGGAGGATCAACCCAGAGCGGGTTCAGAGAGGCTGGAGCAGAGTGCTCGCCAATTTGAGCTGCAGGGCCAGGAAGAATCGATGGAGGCGAGTATGCTCACCCATGGCCGCAACGATTTGCACTCTGCTCGATCTAGGCTGGAATCCTGAAGGCCCGTGGCGCTGGCACAGTGATATAGATGAGTTATTTGAAGCGCCTGTCGAGCTGATAGGAAAGGGGCCTTTGGACAAATCGCACGTCCTTTTTGCCAGTATAGCAGACAGTGTAAGTAGGAAGCTTTGGGCAGGCGCTGCAAAGAACTCCTGGATGGGAGAAGGCTTGCAGCAGGTGCCAGAGATGTCAGGCCCGAGAAAGCAATGCCGCCTGGCAGCAAAGCGCAAGGACTTTAAGTGGAAAGGTTTGCTACAGTGTGTGATGACAGGTGCGACTTGGTGTAGGCAGCGACTTTTTGAGTATGGACTAGAGGAGGACGCGCTCTGTCCCAGATGCAACCAGGCACCCGAGACTGACAAGCACAGATGCTGGGAGTGCCCAGCGAATGAGGAGTTTCAAGATATATCGCGGAGTCTAATAGCCAAGGCAAGGAACGAGGCGGACAGCCTGCCTAGCCTTTGGATCCGAGGGCTAGTGCCCTCCACGTGGACTAGTGTCCCAGAACCAACAGAAGAGGCCATCAGCTTTGTTTTCGGCAGGTCGAGCCACCAGTCTTTCGGAACGCCAGGGGTCATCTTTGGAGGAGGTGACGCGAGTGGCGGCAAAGACAGAGACCCTAGGCTGCGCAGAGTAGCATGGGCGTTTGCGACGCTCACTGGTTTTCGAGAGGATGGGAGCTACGACGCGGGTGAGTTGGGTCTGGGGCACTTGCAAGGAGGGAATCTGCCAGGAATGTTTCAAACAGTCAACCGTGGTGAAGCCACGGCTCTATTAGAGTTTGCAGCGGCCACTCTGCCATTAGCGCACGCTGTGTATATCACAGACTCTGATTATGTGATGAGAGGCGTCGAGAAGCTGCGAGTGGGCAAGAGCCCAGACACGCATGTGGACGTGTGGCGACGGCTTGGAGAGACGATAGCCAACCACCCCGACAAAGGGCTCAGAGTGCTGAAGGTGGAGAGTCACCTCAGCGCTGACGAGGCGCTCGAGCAGGGCGTGAGCCCAGCCAGCTTCCTTGTGAATTCTATCGCAGATGCGGCGGCAAGCAGACTAGCCGAGGAGTTTCGAGTCTCTTTCGCTGATAGGTGCAGGGTGGAAATGTCGACTGCGGTAGGTTTCGCAGTCAGGAAGCATCTTGCCAAAGTACTAGGTCAGGTAATCGAGACAGTGCCACGACAACAACCGAGCGATAGAGCGCTAGCAGACCGTAGAGCGAGAGAGGCACGAAGTGTACAGATCACAGAGCACCACGGCGTTTGCATTGCAGGCTCCAGAGTTCGTTGCAAGGAGTGTGGAGGATCGGCGCCGAGGAGAGAGTTGAACAGATTCCTCGACACTCCTTGCGTGCGTGGCCTCATGAGAGGCGTCATGCTCTCACCTGCTGGAGTCCAAGTTTTTAATGGGAGAGAACTGCATGTTTCACACGCAATCGGGGTCCATCAGAGATTTGGCACCCTGATATGTCTTCGCTGCGGGTTCTATGCTCAGAAAGGCGCACGGAACCTGTTGCATCCCTGCCAGGGCAGACCCACCACGCACGGTAGGCGAGCTTTGAGCAGGCTTCAGAAAGGTGAAGTCCCAGCGGTCAGGTCGATAGAGACGGACAGGGTTACAGCACTGAATTAGAAACAGTTTGAGCCAATGGCGGGAAACAGAAAAAAAAAAAAAATGGATGTATGTTGTTTTGCAACAGTTTGCGTAGTTGCAGCGCGAGGGGGCCGCACGGTGACTCGACCGTCGCCGTTGGGGGCTCAAAGTGCAAAACCGATGCAGGTTTTCCCCTTCCACTCTGGAGAGTCGCTCCGTTCGAGCGGCACCGCCGCGATCCTGAGGGTGGTGCAGGCCGACTGCCCGGGTTGCGCCCGCGAGCTTGCGCTGAGCTGCGGCGCCGGTGGCGGCTCGCCCGTCGACGGCGGACCCAATGGGCTGGAGGCGGTGCTCCGCTACTCCGCCTTGGCCCTGGTGTTCAGCGCGGGGGTCGTCGCGGGCCGGGTGGGGCACGCGCGGCTGGCCTGCCGCCCGACGGTGGCCCAGCTTCAGGGCAGCGCCGACGCAGTGAGCCTCGAGGACCTGTCGCGAGTGCAGGCCGCGGCGGCGAAGGCAAGGCAGCCCAGTTCGGCCGCGGCGCAGCCATGGCAGCACACCCTGTGGTGGCCCTGGCCATCGTGAGTGGCTTCCTTATGATCCGCCACGGGGTCGACGGCCGCCACGTGGGGCCCGAGCGACTCGTGCTCGCTTTGGGTGCGCACCCGCCATGGCCCGCGAGGATCCTCACGCCCGATGGCGACGCCTACTCGGAGGTGCTCCTCGGCAGGGGGGACATCGTGGCCTGCATGATGAGCGCTTGCGGCGCGTCTGGCGGGGCTGCGGCTGGATCGAGTGGCGACGGCGAGGGCCAGTTCAGGAGCGTGCCACCAGCTGCGACGATCGCTCTGGCTCAGGCGGGTGTCAAGTTCGCCCTAGGCCGCCTGCCAGGGCCTCCCGTGGTGGTACCCATCGGAGGGGGGCCGATCGCCGCAGCCGCTCGTGCGCTCGCAGTGGGCGCGGCGGCGCCCCCCGCAGGTGGCGCGGGCTCAACCTGCACGGCTCCCATGTACGCGAGGAGCATCGAAGGCGGGAAGGTATGCTTGGAGTGCGCGGACAAAACGGGCCGGGTTCAGACACGCATGCTAAGTCAGTGCCCGCAGCACGCTCGGGATGGCACGGCGGTGTCGCTCAAGTTCCTGCATCCCCCTTTCGCATTGCGCACTATTGTCGCCTATGTGGACACCATCGCCGGAGCCGAGGGGGCGGCGGTAAAGCTCAACGTAGCCCTCCAGGAACACCCCGGACACCCGACCGATCTGATCGGCGACAGTTTCAATCTTTGGAAGGCACAGAAGAAGACTCGCCAGGCTCCACGCCGCGAAAGCCGCGCGAGAGCTGAGAAACATTGCCGCCAACAGCAGATACTTTCTCAGCGCGCTCTCGGAGCTCGGCCACAAGGGCGGGATGATATCGGCGCTGTTCGCGGCGTCTGCCGAGGAGATGGAAGGGGTACTCGCGGCGTCTCCTGGGTGGAGGAGCTTCAAGGATGCATCGAACGACGTGGCCGCCGCCGTGTTGGCTCCGTTTGTGCGGGACGACGTGGTGTAGCACGTGCTGTTTGGGGGTTCGTTTGCCGTGATAATTATATAATCATACTATATGCTTTCATATACATAAAACGAGCAGGAGGGGACCAGTGGTGCACATTCAAGAGCCGTCGCCTGTTGCAACAGGAGCACCTCGTGTGTGCTGTGGGTGTTGGTGGTGATGGGGCTTGGGAGCAGCAGTCTACTGATGGGGGGAAGAGGCAGCTTAGTTTTTAGTGAGAGTCGCCCGAATTCTACTTCATTTTCATTCACGTCCTCATTATCCGCCTCATCCTCTCTCTCTCTCCACAGGCCTCCCCTCTTCGGTCTCCTCCTGCAATTGTCCCTTGTTTTCCTGCAGCTCCTGCTCCTCCACCCTCCCCGTCCCGCTCTTCCCCCTCCTCCCCTTCCTGCCCCCCCCTCAGGAACCTACGTTCCCCCTCGCGAATGCGATATCATATGTTCATCCGCCTTCTCCTCGCCCACCTCCTTCACATCCTAAGCCACCTGCCCCTCAATATCCTCGTCCCATTCTCCTCATCATCGTCAGCGCCCTGGTCACTGTTGCCCTCGTCGCCAGCCACGTCCCTGTCACTGTCCTCGCTCCTTCTCCCCCTCCCGCTCGTCCTCTGAGCAGGGAATGCATTGAGTTTTTCTCGGGCGTTTTCCCGGCGAGACAAGTACTTCTGGGGTACATTAATTCTGCAGCCGATCACCTGCTCGAGTCCCCCCTCCTCCCTCCCGACTCCTCCCTCCGTTGCCTCCTCCGCCGCTGCCTTCGCTCTGGCGCCCTCGCCCCGGCCCCCGCGGCTGGCCGCTGCCCCCATCGGAGGCCTACAGGTTGACACCAACACCAATATCGGCGGTAAGCCTCCACCGAGGAAAAATACTCCCGACCTCGGTGATGGTGGTAATGTTCGGGTTTCCTGGGAGCCGAAATATTACCACCAACACCGAAATCTAGGATCATCTTCCCCCTGTGGAGGCAGCCCCCTGCCTTGGTGTTGGTGCTTATTTCCAGGCCTCCAACCCCACCCGCCACGGGGCGGCGCAGGGCCCGCGCCTTGCGCGCGTGGTGCTGGCGAGGTCAGCTCCGGTCGCGGTTGGGCGGGCGGTCCGTTCTCCCGCGGGCCCCGCACGCTGGAGGAGGAGGAGGAGGAGGAGGAGGAGGGGGAGGAGGAGGAGGGGGAGGAGGAGGAGGAGGAGGAGGAGGGGGAGGAGGGGGAGCAGGAGGAGGAGGAGGAGGAGGAGGGGGAGGAGGAGGAGGAGGAGGAGAGAGGAGGAGGAGGAGGAGGAGGAGGAGGAGGAGGAGGAGGAGGAGGAGGAGGGAGGAGGAGAGGGGGAGGAGGGGGAGGAGGAGGGGGAGGAGGAGGAGGAGGGGGAGGAGGGGGAGGAGGAGGGGGAGGAGGAGGAGGAGGGGGAGCACACGAAAGTGTCACCCTTCGCCGGAGTTGCCTCTGGTGCCCGCCCCCTGCGGCCCCCCGATCGCCCGGGCGCGGTGCGGTATAGTGGCGTCTTGCGCGCTCGGGTTCAGTCCCCCCGCGGCTCCGCGAAGGCCGCGCACCAAAGGTCACTCGTAGCGAGGGTCACTCTTGCGTGTAGTCGACCACGCTCCAGCCCAAGGGCCCCCCAGAGCCGGAGATGGCTCCAAGACGGCCCGAGAGGCCTACCAGGCGCCCCAAGAGGGCTCCAGGAGGGCCCCCCAGAGAGGAAAAGGCAACCATCAGTGCTCCTCCAAAAGGTTTTTTAGTGGTTTCAGCGTTCTCGCTTTTCCGGGCGACCGAAGCTCCAGGACGGCCCCAAAGGACCCCAAGATCGCCCAAAGACGGCCCAACATGCCCCAAAGAGGCCCGCAAGACGGCCTAGGAGGGCCACAAGACGGCCTAAGAGGCCCCCCAGATGGTCCGTAACCATTTTGGCTCGAGTCGTCCACGGGGACAGTACGCGACATTACCCTCGCCCCCACCTCTGTCTTTAGCATAGCGCCCGTGCTGAAACATGACCGACTCAATAGGGGTTGGCAGCATCTCGCAGTGTTCAGTACGTCGACGTTCGACAACCGGTGAATTGGACCAACGTCACCGTACAGAATTCCAACTACCATGGCATGATTCACCGGTCAGAACCAGGTAATTTGCATAACAAGTTTCAAGTTCAGACGGTTCAGACGACGATTTTTCGAGTCAGGACCATGCGGGGTCCGACAGAGGCACACTTAACGATTGCAACAATTTTTTTGTGAGGACCATGCGGGATCCGACATTTCCACATTTAATGGCCGTAATGTTTTCGACGTGTTCGAGGTCACGAAGCTGACAGAGTTCAACACCAGCACGCGCTTCAGCAAGTATGGACGAGTCATGGTTGTAGCTTTGAGCAGTATGAGCTCAGCGTCCTGCTTGATCCACTGGCTGCTGGTTCCACAGGACTGGAACCCAAGGTATTTTATCCCACGGGGTGCATTTACTTCGCGCTTTGCGTGATCCTCCCTATGCTGACGAGACATAGGCACGTTCAGTTGGAGCGGACGCTAAGCGTTGCAAACCGCTACGAAATTAACCTGAATCCCTGTAATGAGAACATGTTATTCGCCTATGTTCTGTGGTCGGTTGCTTTCGTATTGGGTATGCTTGCGCCCGTACTAATGTGGTTGCCCCGATTGTACGGAGATGACAGTGAGAAGCAAATGCAGATTGGCTTTTGGACTGAGGTCAGCGTCTTCACTTGGTCCATCAATATGCTTTGCATTGGACCTTCCAGGGTGGAAGAGATCGGAACACAAGCCGCAGAAGGAATTATCGCAGGTGTCGTTAAGGAGATGGCCAACATGAGAACCGAGAAAATCAGTTGGAAAAGGGTGCTGAACAAAGTGAAGGCGACCGATTACTTGCTGGCGGACACCTTCCAGTGGAGTTGCCTCGGAAATTGATAGTCGTTCGTGTCTCGATGCTCTTCTTGCTCGCAGTGGGATTCGGTTCTGTCGGAATTGTCCACCGCAATGAAACTACTAGGAAGGGCGCAATGCTTTGCGGTCTGCTGTCAGCGATGTGTGGCTGTGCTATTTTGGCCCGCTTGGCACTCGCCAGCCAGAAGTGCAATAGCACAAGGCCTGGATCAGGTAACCTTGCGGCAACATTGATCCAGAAAATGGTTGAGCACACGTTCGGAGAAGAGCTTGGCATCGCTCGGACGTGTGCGTTTTTTCCTCAGCGAGGACCATCGAGGAGCATCCTTGACCATTTGGCGAAAAATCCACGCACGAAACCGAGAAAAGCACGAGGAATGGACGTCCAAGCGATGGCGAGAGAGGAGCCAGAACAGTGGGATACTTTCCGCCAGTTGTTGCTCTACATCAGAGCACGAACGCTGGATTGTAGAGCCGCCGGGCACGCGAATAGCACCCGAGATGGCAGGACACGTTTGCATTGCGAGCCTGCTTCTGCCTGCTGGCCGGGGTCACTGTCGTCGAGGGCGTTCACCGCCCACCAAACCACCCCAGCCCAACCCGAAGGCCCCAATTTGCCTTCCATTTCCAGTTGGGGGGGGTCGGGGAACGTTGAGAAAACACACATGAAGCCCGTACCCCCCCCCAACCCGAAATTCAGGTTTTCGTGTTGGGTTGGGGTGGTTTGGTAGGTAGTCAGGCGTATGGAACAACAAGGGCCAAATCGATGCTCAGAGCTAGGGCCCCTACATCCCTCGCCGAAATTGAACGCAAGTTTTAGCCGCGACCTGGCGGCGCCCCCCGACCCCCGATTTCAATGTTCGCGCCGACGCCGGCGACTTCGAGATTTTCTTCGGGCCCCGCCGGCCGCGATGCGCCTGTCGATGAACATTGAAATTTTGGGGCGACGGGGGTGGGAAAAACTTGCGTTCAATTTCGACGAGGGTTGTACGAACACTGGTGACTCCCGCGCTCGCGGTCTGCTCAACAACAGTGCCTCCCGGCCACGGGGGGGCGCAGGAAGAGAGGGCGCGCCGGCGGGGGGAGCGGCGCAGCCCCCCGCGCCACACGCCGCGCACGACGCCGCACGGCGAGATTTTTTCCGCGCGGGTGCCCGGTGCACCCGCTCCTCCGTCGCCGACTGCACAGTGCCTTGGCATCGCTCGGGCGTGTGCATTTTTCCCTTCGGCGAGGACCATCGAGGAGCAGCCTTGATCATGTCGCGAAGAAGCCACGCACGGAACCGAACAAGAACACAGGGGATGGGCGTCCGAGCGAAGGCGAGGTGCCGGCCCGTACCAGGAAGCACCCTGCTTGCCTCCAGGGTGCTCTGGGTTTCTTGGGCCTCGCCGGTTTTGCCGCGGAGACCACCTGCCAAACCACCCCGACCCAACCCGAAGGCCTCAGTTTGCCCTCCAGTTCCAGTGGGGGGGGGTCGAGGAACATGGAACAAACACACATGTGGAACCCGTACTGCCCCCCCCCAAACCCGAAATTGAGGTCTTCGGGTTAGGTGGGGGTGGTCTGGTAGGTAGTCATGCACAGTGCAGGCCCGTGCCAGGAAGCACCCTGCCTGCCTCCAGGGTGCCCCGGATTTCTTGGGCCTCGCTGGTTTTGCCGCGGAGAGCGCGGCATCCCCACACCGAGAGTCGAGGGACGTCCTGGGCTCTCAGGGCTGGGTTTCTTGCGGAAGGCTTCTCCTCCTCCTCCTGTATGTGCCCGTTCCTGGGTCGCGTTCTGCAGGTGCTGATTCGCTGACTCGGTCTGTGTGGTCGGACGCCACCGCCGTTCTCTCTGGCCGACCTGCGCCCTGGACCGCGATCTGGGACTCCACCCCGTAGCTCTCGCATTTTGAAAGGCCGACAGGGCAGTGGCTCGGGCAAGAAGTTTAGTGCGCATCGCGCTTCGCGGCCTGGTCCGTGCACACAATTACCCTCTGCCAGGGTTGCGGCTCCAATAAATTGCATTCGCTCTTGCGGCGCCTGCGACGAGTGATGTTCAGGTTAGGTGCAGCACGCAGGCCTATGCTTTCAAGGTGGTCGAGCCGGACTTGCATATAGCTTTTGTATCACATGGGTGGGGCCTGCGCGTCAGGGCGGCCTCGGAACCTCGGGGGCCCTGTGACAGGAGTTTGTGTCCAGCAGCGTCGCCAGCTTTTTTCGGGCAAACTTCCCTGGCCTGCGCTCCAGCACGTTTCGCCCCCGCGGACCCCCACCCCGGGCCGCCCCAAAGGGGGGGGCCGGCGGCGGAGCCCGGCTCGTTGTCAAGAGCTTGCCCCCAGTGGCTCTGTTCTTCCACAGCCCGAGCCACTGAAAAGAGAGAGGCCCCCGAGACGGCCCGAAGAGCAGCCCAAGATGGCCCAAAGATGGTGAACTCGGACTGTCATTCCGAGCGTCCGCGTCCAGCGTGCAACCTGCTGGATTCAAAGGTGCGACCAGAGAGATCGCGCAACATGTGCGACGATGATCCCGTTAGGCCTTGGGGCCCGGGTACAATGTTGCAGAGACCAGCCCAGGGATTCGATCCGGTAGCTCAAGAAGGTGACCAGAGAGTGTTTTTTGGAGGACGTATTGGGCGGGATCGCGATTCTACGGTTCCTCCAACCTCGCTTCTGATATTATAATCGCCAAGTCGTGTGAGGACCTGAGAATCGCGATTCCGCCCAATACTTCCTCAACAAAAAACTCTACGGTCGCTTTTCGGAGCAACCTGAGAATTTCTCTGGCGATTTCGCCTAGGACTTCCTCGGACAAACCCTGAGCGTCCGGAGCCCGTAGAATACTAAGTTCTGGTCCACTCTGTGAACCAGCCCTTAGGAGCGCAAGTCTTACCTCAACCCATAGATTCGCCCTTACTTTGTCCCTTAGTTTCGCCCCTAGATCGGCCCTTATATTGGCCCCTAGATTGGCCTTTAGTTTGGATCTTTGTTTAGTGAATGGGCGTTCTCGGCCACTCTTGTATCACACTACTCTTGTGTCTATAGATACGTTGTGCATGTGAAAGTCGACTTATACTTCGGCTACCACTATTACAGCCACATGAAATTGTTGCCGATATCACGCTCACAATTCCCACCGGCATATCTGCAGCAACTATTCATGCATTTGTGTATGTCCCACTACATCACCTTCGTGTTTCAAGCACTATTCCAGCTGGCACTCCGAATAGTTTGTGCTACTGTTGTTACTTCTCACGTCCCCTCATCTAGCACTGCTCGTTTTCCTTGCTCCTCCTCCTCCCCCTCCCTCCTCGGGCTCTGCCTTGAGGAGGAGGAGGAGGAGGAGGAGGAGGAGGAGGAGGAGGAGGAGGAGGAGGAGGAGGAGGAGTCGAGGGACGGGGGGTCGGCTGCTCGGAACCTTTGGTGGTGCCTCGTGGCAACGGGGCGGCGGCGGGGGCGAAGCCTTGTGACGGGACGTCGCTGCGATTCGGTTGCTCGTGGCGCTTGGCGCTCTCGCGGCAGTGGGGCGGCGGCGGGGGCGAAGCCTTGTGACGGAACGTCGCTGCGATTCGGTTGTTCGTGGCTTTTTGGCACTCTCGCGGCAGTTCGGCGGCGGCGAGGGCGAAGCCTTGTGACGGGACACCGTTGCGATTCGGTTGTTCGTGGCTTTTTGGCACTCTCGCGGCAGTTCGGCGGCGGCGGGGGCGAAGCCTTGTGACGGAACGTCGCTGCGATTCGGTTGCTGCTCGTGGCTTTTGGCGCCCTCGCTGCAGTGGGGCGGCGGTGGGAGCGAAGCCTTGCGACGGCACGGTTCCTCGTGGCCTTTGGCGTTCCTGCGGCAGCGGGGGGTGAGGGCGGGAGCGAAGCCTTGTGGCGAGGCAGGGCGATGGCGATGCGTAGACTGTGGCGCCCTCGTGCCAGCCAAGCGTGAGCGGTCGAGCACCGCGTGGGCTCTCAAGGAGGTGGAGAAGGCGGGCGAGGAGGAGGAGGAAGACGATGGTGAGGAGAGGGACGAGGAGGAGGATTAGGGGGCGGAAACAAAGGAAGATGAGTACGGGGAGGAACGGAGGTGACGAAGACGCGCGGACAGAGGAGGACAATGAGGATATTGAGTTCGGTGGGAGGGGGAGTGGGAGGTGGTGAGGAGGCGATGCGCGCGGCGCTGCGGATTCCAAGCGAGGACCAAGCAGCACAGGAGGGCTGCGGATACCCAGAGGTCCGACGTTCCAGAGAGACGGAGTGGCGGGTGTGGGGCCGTGTTCGGCCTCGGGGCGCCCTCGCCGGGCCTCGGGGCCGTCAAAAATCAGGAGGAAAAAAACACACACACACACACAGACACAATGAATCGTCGATCCCCAGGAAAACATAGGAAAATATGGGAAGTGGGGGGGAAGACAAAAACCCCGAAAATATGGGAAAATATGATGAGTCCTTTTATTTGCGTCTATTTATTTGTGTGACCCGGTTCCCCTTCAAACAACACCTCGGGACGACAAGCCAGCCCGAGGGAAGTGGTCCGGACTTCCGGAGCTCACGCGTCGAAAAAATGGGAGCGGCCGGATGTTCGGGCACATGTCAGCGGGGTCCAACAGTTTCCTCTGGCTCGAGTTTGGGGGGATCCCTGAGCAGACAGCAGAGACGAGGCAGGGCTGCAGAGACAGAGCATCATTGGCGCGCCCATGGCCGGGAAAGCGGATGTTGGCCAAGCTGAAACATCCAGAAGGGCCCCTGTTCGTGGAGTGGATGTTGCATCACCTTCCAATCAGTATGCCGCCCCACAGAAAAGCCAGAAAGACTCGAAGGATAACCCCAGGCCACCACCCATACGGCGTGATGATCGACGGACGGTGTTTTTTTCACGGTTTGAGAAAAGCGTCCTTCAGAATGAGCAGCGGAGGATTTTCTGCCGGAGACACGGAGGTCAGTATCAGGATCACCGCAAGCATTGTTCGAAGATGGTGGCCCACATCCTCCATGAGGGAGGCCAGAATAATGAAAAGGCTTAAGGGCGCCAGGTGATCCGATGTCTTTGATGAAGTGCGCGAGGGGTCCCGTCCACCGCGCCCCTGCCGTTTACCATGAGAATCGGGCCTTGACCAGCCCCACCTGTTGCCCAGACCACGTCGCTGTTCAAGGCCCGCAGACGATCCCCGGGCCGCCCATGGGCGATGCAAGGCGTCCCCAGGCGCTGTTCGCCACAAGTTAGTGTTGATGTTGATGCGGCCATGTGTTCGTACATTCCCTTGTTCGTTCGGCATGCGTGCCGTAGCCTCGTCGTGGTCTAATGTGTATTGTTATCGTGGCAACGCCAAAGGAAGCTCAACCAGCTTGGCATTGGAGCAGACGGCATTGCTGCTACCTTGGGTTTCAGCGCCGATACTGTGAAGACGCTCATTGACCCTCAATACACGTGTTTCGGTCGGCTTTGCATGAGAGCACAGAGACAGGAAATGTGGAGTAGGTACATAGAATCCCTGCACATGCGCGAGACTGCTATTCCATTGCATGCCCAAATACCAGTATGTGTTTTCCATGTACGTATATCTCTATTGTCTCATTCGTCGTGCCTTGCAGAAGCTCTGGCCTGGTTGCCAGGGAGGTTGGAATGACGCCGCATATACGTGATTGCGTACAGGCAAAGTTGTGCGGGTTGGAAGGGCGAGGGAGGCACATGGTGTAGAACATGGTTCTTGATGAAGGCAACGAGGACGAGGACAAGTCAGAACTAATTTGAGCTACGGATGAGCGCATGCTGTTGTATGTTTCTGCTTCAGCTCTAATCCAGTCACGCCGTATTCGTCCCAAGACGCTCACGCTCATCACGCCATGATCTTCGAAGGCGTCACCGCTGCCAGCGCAGTCCCGTTGAAGATCTATGTGGCATGGTCACACCAGTCCTGCAGCTGTGTTGTCATTGGTTATGCGCCTTCGACGTGTCTCTTCCCCGACAGGTTGGAACACCACTCTCTACACGCTCGTGCAAGACGCGCAGACAACCGTCAAGATGAGCATTCATCTGGAGGGCAAGTGGTTCCGGCAGCGGCCCTGAGCAAGCGGAGGAAGGGCACGGTGTAGGTGCAACAATAGTCAGGAGGGAAAATAACACACAGACACAATTAATCGTCGATTCCCATGAAAATGTGGGAAAATATGGGAAGTATGGGGGAAGAAAAAAACAAGAGAACATCAGAAAATATGGGGAATCATTTTATTTGTGTGTATTTATGTGTGTGTCCCAGGGCCCCTTCAAGTAGGTGCAAGGATCACAGTGGCCCACACAGTGATAACGATACATGTTTTGTTTGAGGTAGGCGTGGGCGGATGAGGATGCGGGTGGGTGGTGAGGTGAGCCAAAAAAAACAAAGAGCGTGTCAAGACAGGCGGGGCTAATTGAGGGCTAATCGGAGGAGGTTGGAGGGACTAATAAAGACACCAAACGAGACTTGTCGACAGTCGGAAGAGGAAGAGGATGAGAAAAGAACACGGGGTGGGGGCGCGGCAAGAGTAGGATGAAAACAAGGACGTTAAGGAAGTTCAGCTCGCACTCCTTCGAGGCTGATTTCGGCGCGACCGACGAGCGATGTTGGAGCACATTCTTTTATTGCTGGAGTTCGGCGATCCCCAATCAGGCATGACAAGCACAACGAGCAAAGCAAACACTCAGCACGTTTGGGTCCTCCATGGCCATCTTGGTTTCAGGATTCAGGTGCGGGAAGCCAGAGGCAGTTTTCTCTCCCATCTTCCTTCCTTTCTTCACTCGTTCCTCATTTCCATGTTCCCCCTCTTCTCCCTGCCTCCTTGTGCCCTCTCTGTTCCTCCCCCTCCTCTCCCCTTTCTCCCTCCTCTTTTCCCCCCTTCCCACCGTCCCTGTGTCTTTCACAAGGATGCGAGGCTCGCCGTCGGGAGCACTGGGATGTTCTGGCCTTCGTTTGCCACGGCCGTCGCCTTACTCTCCCTTCGCCTTCGCTTACTCTCCCTTCGCTTGCTTGGGTGGGGACGCTGTCGTGCACGATAGATATCGTTTTAGTTGGCTCAATCACGTTGCACATCCCACTTGTATCGCATGGAAGTGGGTGGAGTGGTTCCGCTCGCTCTTGGTCAACTGCCTTCTCCGTCCGCCTCATGAGTGCGCTTTGCTTTTCTCACCCTTCCGCCTCACCACCAATTTCTATGCTTTACATGTTTTCCCCCCTCTATCTCTCCTCTCTCTCTCTATATATAGATCCCGCCTCTCCTTCTCGTTCCTTGCCTATCCCTTCTCCTCTACTATCCTAGTGTCCCTCTCTTCTCTGATCTCATCCTCTCCTCTCGTTTCTCTCGTCCTCTGTCGTCTCTCCTGTCTCCTCTCTCCTCGCTTCTCAGTCCCGACGAGCTCGAGGTTAGGGGTTTGAAAGGTAAGCAGCTCGGAACATAGCCAGGAACACATGCGACTGAATGTGAAAGCTGCCAAGAGATTTCTGAAAAGGGGTCCGCGGCATTTTGGGATTCCTGAAACCTTGAATGTTTCAGTCGAAGTGTTGAATGATTATAGTAGTAACGATGGTCATGGACCTGAGGGCACTCCAATACGTACCACATGCACCGTCTGCTTGTCTGTCTATCGGTCTGTCTCTGTTTTTTTGTTTCTCTTTCTCTCTCTCTCTCTCGCTCTTTACATGGTCCTCTGTTCTGATATCGTCCTTATTTTGTATCTCCCTCTGCTCCATCATATCCTCATATTTTTGTTCCCATGGTCCTGCTCCTTCAGGTTCTGCCTGGGCGAGCCCTTCCTGCCCAGAGATTTCCTCTTGGACCGTGGCTTCCGCAACAAGCGTGACATCTTCCAGGTGGCCAACTGGCCGCACGGAGACTTGGGCGTCGAAGTATCCATCGAGCTCGGAGGGGGGGGGGGGGGGGGAAGAGCGAGGGGCAGAGAGGGGATAGGGGGAGAAGGAGGAGGGAGAAGAAGCGAGAGGTGCAGGTGGAGGCACGGCCAGGGGAAGGATTCGAGGGTGAAAGGGACGAGCGAGAGGGGAAGGGGAGGGGCAGGCCAGCCGCCATCCTCAGGCGTGAGGCGTCCGTGCCGGTCAATACTGGGTGCGAGCGAGCGCTCTCCTTCCAGACCCGGGGTGGTCTATACGTTACCTGACTTGGGCTCCCTCAGTCTCGCTCTTTCCTCTCCTTTTGCTCCACCCTCGCTCGAGCAGGCAGCAGGGCCGTGGCAGGCTCGCTGCAAAAACGCGCGCCGGCGCCGGGTCTGAGGTGCCAGGTGGGCGGGAGGAGGCAAGCTCCTTCTGCCTCTGCCTCTGCGCGCAGGGAGAAGGATGTGAAGAGGACTTGCCACCAGATCCACGATCCGATTGAGGAAAGCCGGGCCTCAACGATCGCAACGGCATTTCGCACCGAGCGGACAATGTCTGGGGAGGTAGGGCCTAGCAAATGCACCAAAAGCAGAGGCTCCGCATACAATGATTGCGCAGTGTCATTGGGCTGGAGCCACGACTTGTCCTACCCGACGGGCAAGAGAAGGGGAGCGCTCATATACTCTTGTGCAGCCGGGGAGGGCGGAGAGAGAGAGCGGGCCCTCTGGGTAGGTATGGGGCTTCAGTGCGCTGGGCGCAGCCCGACGCCTGGAAAGACAGAGCGCGGGGCGAACGTCGAGGGCGGACGGGGCACGGGGCCCTCGGCAGGGCGGCAGGTCGCACGTGCAGGCCCTTGGTCTCGCACTCTTGAGCTCTGTGCAGTGCTGCAGCTGGCGGCTCTTCCCCAGTGCACAGGCCTTCTGTCTCCTGGGCCCGCCCGTGGCTCGAAAAGGCAGCGGCACCGCCGCACTTCACGCAGGAGCCCGGGGGCAGCGGAGCCCGCGGGGCGTGCTGGCTGAGGCGGCTAGCGCTGGCCTCTGCCACCTCGCCCTCCGCTTCCCTCCTCCCCAGACCCCCTCGAGTCATGAAAAAATCACGACGGGAGGTTTTTCATTATTTTTGGCCTCTGGGGGCCCTTACCGGCCCTCGGGACCGTCAAAAAACGACTCCGGACGAAAAACCGGTCCCAGGGAATTGGTCCAGACCGTGGGGGGTCGACGTCATGAAAAATTCATGACGTCGGGGGTCTGGGTCCCCAGATCTCTGGATGGGAGGCGAAGCGCACCCAGTGACGACGCAGATCGCCATGCAGGATTTCGAGGCGTTCGACGCGGAGGGCGACGTCCTGCCAGGCACGGCGGGGCCGAAGCAGCGCGCGGGGCACCAGGGGGTGTACGGCAGGCTCCACGCTGCGTGAGCACGGCGGCGGCGCCAACACACGCGGGCGTTCAAGGTCAAATTGCAGCAGCTGCCCGAGCTCGGCCAGTCCTGAACGGTCTCCGATATCGGAAGGCGACGATCGTCCAAGAGCAAGCGAGATGTGTCAGACCCCCCCATGTCATCGCCATGTGCACCTGCCGTAGTGCCTGGGCGTGCCTCCTGGTCGGCCCCCCTACCGGTGTCCAGGGAAAGGACACCGTCTCCATTATTTTCCCCTCCCCATTTCCATTTCCCTGCCCCCCTTCCCTCCCCCTCTCCGTTCTGGGCCACCTGCATTGGTTTCTCTTTTTCCCACCTGCCACGGACTACGCTGCAGTCGCTCTCTCTTCCTCTATCTCTCTCTCTTGTTGTTTTGTTTTTTTTCTCTCTCTCTCTCTCTCTCTCTCTCTCTGTCTCTCCTTATATTTAGTCAGGTGTTCATTATCATCCCCCTCCCTCATCCTGCATTTCTCCTCTTCTCCCTCCTCAGATCACGTCCTTTAGGGAGCGGCCCGCCTCAGACTACGTCATTCCTTCCTTAGCTTTCCTTCCTGTTCCTTATGTTCTACTCCTTCATTCCTGTTCCATCCTTTCTCTTCCTCCCTTTACCCTCTTTTTTTTTCCTCTCTCTCTCTATCGATCTGCTCGTTCTGCCCGTCTGGTACTCTCCCTTTCTGCCTCTTCTGGTCTGTCCGTGTCTTGTTTTCCAGTATGTGGGTCATCTTCGTTTTCTGCTCCCACCCCCTCGCCCTCTCGCTTCTCGCCTCTCGTTTGTGCCTCGCCCATTCCCCCTCGCCTCAAACTTCTCGTCAGTGTGTGTGTGTCGCCCTTTCGGCTCTGGGTTCCGTTGTTTTCCTCTCTTGGCTTTCTTGGCCTTCTAATTTCTCTGCCCACATCGTCGTATTCCTGGTCGTTCGTCAGATTGTAGCGAAGTCCGCGGATGCGCGCAACGGCTCGCCTATTGCAGGTTGGCCTGAGCGCTGCTCCATAGGTTTTGGAGTACTCATCTGCTTCCCTCCCCTCTCCTCCTCCTCTTCCTCCTCCTCTTCCTTCCCCTCCTCCCGCTGTGGCGACCCTTGTTCGCTTGGAGTGGGGCTCCAAGAACACGGCCGGATTTTGAAGATGTCTTTGATTTTGACGCCACGCGAGGTCATCCGTTCTGTCCGCATCGTCCCCTCAGCTTTCCTCCTCCTTCTCCCAAAATATTGCGCGGGAAAAAAAAGATTGTCGCGAACCGCCCGTTCACTCCAAAGAAATTACGTTTTCCTGCCAGCCGTCCGCTGTCTTACCTCACCTCTGCATCATTGGCGCGTTCGCTGGTGGCGACGTCTCGTGCGGCCTTTCAGGCTTCTGCCCAGCGGTTCACCGTCTCGCGTCGGGGTGCTAAATGCCGGGGGTCGTTTACATCATTATGCCGAATATTGTTGTTTCGAGTGCCCCACGAACTCACAACAACAAAACATGACAAATATTGTTGTGTTGCGACGACAACAGCAATTTACCAGCCTGGGGTAGCGCAGTGCACTAGCCGTCGAGATTTCGTGGAAGGCTCCGCCTGCGTTTTTTTATCCAGACCGCCAGCCTACTGCGTCGTCCTCCTGTTCCTCCTCCTCCTCCTCCGCCGCCTCCTCCTCCTCCTCCCTCCCCCCCTCTTTTTCTTTATTATGGTCCTCCTCTTCTTCAGAGCCGTTATGATTCCTGGTACTTCGGACAGGAGCTTGCAGCAGCGAGCTTCAGAGCGGCATTGCTGTTGCGAGCCAAACTTTCCGCTTACACCCCTGTCGGGTGTTCGCCTTCCGGATCACAGCTTGCACCACATCGCTTCGCCACAGGATTTTTGGGATGGACAAGTTGCCGCCAATCAAGAGGAACATGTGGCGTTGTGGCGGCTGCAGATGTGCGAAAAGCAACTACAGCACATAGGCTCCATGGGCGTTGGGGTCCGAGCCTGTTGGCGACAGTGCGTGGTCGGATCAGCGTGCCGGTTTCGCCCGCAATCTCAGTCAAGGACAATCTCAGCACCGACGGGCTCTCGCCCGAGGAGCTGGGGATGCTCAGCTCGTTGGCCACCAAGCAAAGCCAGTCTGATTTTGCTAGGAAGTACCAGCGTGAGAAGGCGGCAATCAAAGCTAAGGATTGTCCCAGTGTCGAGTTGCTGTGCAGCATGCGCAACAAAGCCTCACAGGCCGGGTCCAAGATCCAGCAAGTGGAAAAGCGTCTACCTCGCGAACTGGACAAGCTGGAGAAGTGACAGCAGGATGTCGCTGTTCTTCAGGATCACATCAAGTCCTTAGGGATGAGCTCGATCCCCACGTGTTTCGCTACCGTGAGCTGGTCTTCCAGATCCGCGACGAGGTGGAGCGTGGGCAGAATGCCGCCCAGTCCAAGCCCAAGCCGATCAGCTTCAAGTGGTTGGTCGAGGGCGGCGACGATTTCCAGTCCTCGTTGGACGATGGCCTGATCACTGGCGTGGAAGAGTCGAAGAGCATGACGTGTCTCCCCGGGGCGCGGGTCAGATGGAGGCGCGCGAGGAAATTATCCAGCTTGGTGCTCGTGCCCTCGCCAAGGGGCTTTACGTCGCAGCCCCCGCTTCTTCCTCGGCGGCTCGCGAAAAGCACCGCGCCCACGTCGCAGGGCCGTCGAAGCAGAAGAGGGCGGGGGGGGGGCTGAGGGCGGCGCCGCTCCAGGACGCGAAGCGGGTGATCCGCCGCGACCTCCCGCCGAGGCCCCCACGACCGAGGCTGGCGGTGGGGCCTCGGCCGATTCTTCATCCTGCTCAGCCTCTGCTGCTGGAAGCTGCGGGGGCGCGGGCCGCGCCCGCCCTCGGGGGCCTGGCCCAGGGCCGCGCCGAGGCCTCCTCGAAGCCATCGAGGAGTCCTTGGAGTCCTTTTCGGGGCCCCCCCCGCCTGCAGCAGGCGGGGGGGGGGGCACTGAATTTTCGCGTTGCCCTCCTCCTCCTCCTCCTCCTCCTCCTCCTCCTCTCCTCCTCCTCCTCCTCCTCCCTCCTCCCTCCTCCTCCTCCTCCTCCTCCTCCTCCTCCTCGGGGGAAGTTTTGGCGCCGGGCTCGAAGGGGCAACTTCCTGGTCGGAGGCCCCGCGCGTCGCCCCCGCGCCGCGCCGCGCGCCGCCGCGCGGGCCGCTGTCGCGCCGCGCCGACCAGCGCTGGCTCCGCGCGCCCCGTTTGCCCTGCTGGCCGTGGCGAGCAGCGCGAGCAGCGCGCGCCCCCACGCAGCGCGGGATCCAGCAGGGGCCGCGCCTGCGCTCCTCGCCACGCCGTGCGCACGCCGCACGAGGAGCTGCGGCCGCTCGACCCCGCCTCCTCGCGCAGTGAGCTCGAGTGAGTCGCACCGCCCTCGCAGAGCGATGGCTCGGGTCGGGCGGAAGGGGGGGGGGGAAAGGGGGAGTTACGAAATCTGCTGCATGTGGCTGGTTTCGGCCCCACCGAGGGGCCCATTCCTCGATGCATAGCCGCCTCCGGCCCGAATGGTTCTCCTCGCGCGTGCCACCTGCGCGGCGCGCTCGTCGACGGCGCGCGCGGGCTCGACGGGGCGGCGCACTCCCCCGCGGGCGCGCGGAGAGCTGCTAGCGCGCGTTTCCGTGCAGCTCGCCTCCGAGAACAGCGCGCGCGGCTGCGCGCCCGGCGCCGCCTCCCAGTCTCCCCGCCGTTGGCGGGCGAACATCGGGCCTCTTCGCACTTGGGGCATATTCGGCCCTGCTCCTTCGCTCCTGGGGTCTATTCTGCCGTGCTCCTGGTGCTTTTCTCTGCCGCGCTCCTCCGCTCCTGGGGCCTGCTCTGCCGTGCTCCCGGTCCTTTTGCTGCCTGCTCCTTAGCTCTTGGGGTCTGCCGTGCTCCCGGTCTTTCTCCGGGGTGCTCC